GAAAAAAGTAGTGGTAATAAAGTGATGATGATGATAATGGGGACAGAGAAAGGGCATGGGCCAAAAGGGTCTGAAAAGGTTGGTGTGCTTGCTGCAGGTATTGAGCTGCTGGATTCAGTTTCCCTTGATGTTGGTTGTGGTAAATGCTGCAGAGGTGACTTTGAAATTTCTGTGTAAATGCTTTGAAAATGTCTCTTCAGAGTCTGCAGAGTGTCTTTTTTTTATTATTATTTTTGTCAGTGAAATTATGGGTTTCCACTGCAGCATGAGCACCTCAGGAACTTGTACTTAGGAGCGGTCGTGTTTGTGCAGGCAGGGGTGATACAAGGACACGTCTCTGAAGACAGGATAAAAGGCAGATTTTTGTGAAGTGCATTTCTGTCAGTGCCTCGGAGCTGTTCGGAGAGTTTGCTTTGAGAAAAATAAGAGCGTGTTTTGAAAAACGTGCTGCAGATAAAATGTATCTGGCTCTGCGGGTCTCCGTCGGCTTCGCAAACACCTTCTGGATTCCCATCCACGCCTCGGGCTGGCAGAGGCTGCAGGTCCTGCCGGGCACGGCCACCTCTCCCTGCTGCTCACCCCTCCGCGTCCCCACCTCGCTCTGCGCTCAGTGGTGTCGCGGCGTCAGCTCCTTGGAGCTGTTGCTCTCGTGGTTTCGCTGAGCTGCTGAATTGGGGCTGGGGGCCTGAAATCTGAGATGAACATCTCAAGGCTGGGAGGGCTGAATGGGCGCTGCTGCCGGCCAGAGCAGGACCGCCTGTGGGGTTTGGGGTGTGAGCACGGAGCTGCCCCAGCCCGGCCTCGGCGAGTCCGTTTGTCTGGACTCTCTGCTCTTGGCTGTCTGCTCCCAGAGAGTGACACTAACAAAAAGCAGTTTCACAGTGTGTATATTTTTCTCCTAGTGATGCAGTGCTCTGCTGCGGTAGATGTCCTTCTCCTCTTGGATGGCTCCTACAGCATTGGCAAAGGAAGCTTTGAAAGGTCTAAGCTCTTCGCAGGCAAGCTCTGTGATGCCTTGGACATCCATCCAGACAGGGTGAGTGTCAGGAGCATCTCATTTTAGTTTCAAGCAGCTTAGCAATGCGAGGAAAGGACAGTGATAAAGTGCGGAGTGAAATTCTGAAATTCAACCTAGTAGCTACCATGGGGGCAGAGTATTTATTAAGAAAGATGCCGTGAAGCAGTGGGTTTGGAGGACACTTCTTGATTCTTCACAGATTTTACGCAGTTTCATTTGGTCTTGAGAAAAGACATAATAGAGTATATATAGAAGAGAATATATGTAGAATAGAATAGAATATTTTCTAATCTTTCAGGTTAAAGATTATGATTTGGGGTTGTTTTACTGATTTCTGTTTTGGTCTAGATGCCCATAGATTAAAATGGTTGGATCTTTTTATTGTTTTTCCCTGGAAAGCTGCAGAATTAGACTCTGTGAAGTTAGTTGCCTTTCTGTACAGATATAAATGATACAGTCTGCTTGTCCTGCTTCTCCTAGAAGATCTCTATTCCAAAATAAGCCAAAAGGACAGAAGGGAAGGAGTTCATTGCAAGGCACCAGCTGCATACTGAGGCGTTTGGGGATCTGCGTGCTGCCATAGGTCCCCAAGGTGTCACTGCACTCCCCACCTGCTAGTGGAGCCATGCGCTTCATGCCAGTGCTCACCAGAGGGAAGGGCACAGGACTGGGACTGCTAGCTGGAGTCCAGGTAGCTGGTATTTTCAGATACCCAGTGTAGAATACACTAAAATAAACAGACAGGTGTGGCTATGCTGAGTTCTTTCTTGTCGTTCCTATTCCGGACCTTGGCTGAAATTGAAGCCTAATTCTGGGTGCTGTGTCTCTCAAAGGAGTAATGGGAGCTGCACCATGGCAGTCCGGGCTCCCTCAGGTCCTGCCTGCTACCTGGAGCCATCCTCGAGGCACCTCTGGGCGTGAATGACACGTCCTGGGGTTTGTCCGAGGGGATTTCAAGCCAGACCCAGCTGCAGTTCCAGCTGCGCATGCAGTCCCACTTGTGCCAGCGGCCTTGGAGCGGGCTAGGCCGGTTGCTGTACTTCATTCCCTGCCAGACCTATTCCAAATAAATATCAGGTCTTTGGGAAGGACATGGCAGGGGTGTGAGGTCTCTGTGTAGCGGGATGAAGAACCTGATGTAGGACAGAGAGAGGGTCTGGTCCTGCTGAGGCTTTGAGGACCTCTGGTCCACCTCTGTTTCTCCAGAGGGGTCTGGGAGCAGAGGAGCAAACTGGTCTTGTCATAGAGTTATAGAATCATTGAGGTTGGAGAAGACCTCTAAGATCATCAAGTCCAACCATCAACCCATCACCACCATGCCTGCTAAACCATGTCCTGAAGTGCCACGTCTACACATTTTTTCAACACCTCCAGGCATGGTGACTCCACCATTTGCTTGGGCAGCCTGTTCCAATGCTTCACAACTCTTTCAGTAAGACATTTTTCCTAATATCCACTCTAAAACTCGAATGCTTAGACTCTAACCCGTAAACCTCCTCTGGACCAACTACCACCACTGCTCCAGGTCCTAAAATTGAAAGCTGCTGCTCTGTGCCTGTTGCAGGGACCTTTTGGAAGCTGAAATCGCCATTCTTCTCCATCATTTTCTCATCTAAGAAATCTTTCACCCTTCAGATCTTGGTTTACAGCCACACACCAGAGGCTTTCCGCAGCCTGGGTAGCGATGGTGAGGAGTCACAGTGCGCGTGCAGGGCTCTGAGAGATGAGAGGTGGCTCAGGTTAAATGGGAATTCCCTTTTCCTGGCTTGTACAAGATTGACTGAAAGCAGAGACTTGTATCTAGGAACCAACTGCAATGTAGGCTTAGGCAAAGGAATTTGAACATTTAATATTTGCGGATTTGGTGGGTTGTTTTTTTTAAACACCATCCTTCCCCTAGTCTTCCTCTTAAACCTTACATAGGCTGGACCAAAAATCTTCGGCCTTTTCATATTTGAAGCTGTCACATTCCATAAAACTTCTTAACTCATAAAGCTTCAGTGAAATATTCTGGATGTATTGCCCAATACAGGCAACTTTGTTTGCATTTTCAGGCATTTTCAACTATAGAAAATGGTTCTAGAGGAGGTACTGGAAAAATAATTGGTTTGTGTTGCCTACTGTGCTCAATGCCAAAGGGAGCTGCTTTTAGTAATGGAAAGATTGCCTGCACGCAGTGTATAAATGGCTTGGTATAAAAGGTGTTATTTATAAACTTACTGCCCTTGGGGCTACTGGCTGCTCTGAATGGATAAATACAGATCCTGAGCTGCCTGTAACTGCAGCAGAGGCTCCCGTTGTTTGCAGTACAACTTCTTTTGCCTTGTTTGTAGTCTGTATAGGTAAGACTGTGGTTTATGCTCTTTTTCAAAGTGAATTTAGGTTGCCAGTAACTCAACATGCAAAAGTGTTCATCTCGATACGATCTAGTGCTCCCAAATCTGTAAACTGATCGAAAGTGTAAAGCTCTCACAGGCACCTTTCATAACTTTTAACCTTTTCTTTTAGGTCCGTGTGGGAATGATACAGTTTAGCACAACTCCTCACCTGGAATTCCCGCTGGATTCATATCTGACCAAACAAGAAGTGAAAGAGAGAATCCAGACGATTGTGTTCAGGTCAGCTTATTTTACAGCTCTTCTCTTTTTCTGGGCTATGAATGATCTCTGGACTGAGAGTTTTTTGAGGTCCAGACGTGTCTGCCTCTGCTGTGCATGCACCAACGTGATGCCCCCAGGGAGGGGGGAGAATGAACGCGTCCGTGGTCTGTAACCCGCAGTCTGCTAAAGACATACAGCCTGGTCTGGCTTTGTCAGTGAAAGCTGATAGGGGAGAAAGTTTTCAGTGTCCCACTATAACATGGTAAAAAAGGGAGAGTTTTCCATGACAGATTTTTCTGCCCGTGTGTGCCGGGTGGTGGGTTACCTCTTTCTGGGGAAAAGCAAGTGTGACATTCCCACAGGGCTGAGCAGAGGCAGGACAGCGTGCATCTTCATTTTTTTGGTGGTTACAGTTTCCTTTGTCCTATGAGGTAGTGACAAATCGCTGGTCCCTAGATATCTGCACGTGTGTGTCTGCTGAATTCAAGAGCATCAGGTTTTCAGACAGAAACCTTTTTTCTTCCTGAATGTTAAAACTTGGATGTCTTCCCACGACCTCGGGAAATGGAGCCAGGAGCCCAAAGAAACACTCTTCTTACAGCCTCTCAAAATCCAGACTTTTCATCTCCGAGAAATACATTCAGATCTGCAAAGGGCCTGACAACTATCCCAAAATAATACTTGTTTTGATGATAGATGAGGTATTGGTGTAGCTGGTGGGTGTCTGCTCTCTCTGTTTAGTTCATCTGCATTAGGGCTAAAGGTTAGCTCAACATTCCTTGTGAATGTCTGCTGCTCTCCGCATGATGTACATATTGCAAGCAAATGTGATCATTTTTTACTTTTTCAAGCGAGATCAGTTGGCTGGGTTTTGTTGCATTGCTTTTGATAAGTTTATCGAATCAAGAAAACCTCTGGTATAATGTTACAGGAAAAACTTACCAGAAAACAAGATGCGCTCCTCCTCTTTGGCCGTTGCTTAAAAGTCTGTGAGAGCAGAGAAAGTGAAGCCCTGTTTGGTGTCTGGCACTGAAATTCCGTGATGACAACACATGGATGCTGACAGATTGAACAAAAATAATGACCTCGTGCTTGGCTGTTTCATCTAGTTTAAATGAAAAGCTGACATTTCAAAGTAGATAAAATAGTCACAGATGGATTCCAGTTGGCGTCTGAAAAAAACAGGATGTTGGATGTCTCAGTTGAGAGGCTCCTTGATGCGCTTCTGATGAGCGTTTGGCCAGTGAGGCATTTCCTGACTGCAGCCCTGTGCTCTGGGCATGGGGCTGAGAACACTTGAAAGGAGACAGTACCAGACTGAAGTGAAGCTTTTAAGATTTATTCGGAGACCGCTGGTCTCTCTCTGTGAATCCCATCCAAATAGCTTTTGTGTTCATTGGCCAATTTCAACCAATTTTGGTGGTCATCTCAGAAGCTAAATTTCTCATGAATTTCTTTCATACAAGTCAATGGCTGGTTACAGGAGAGAAACCTTCTGAGTGCTGTTCCTGAGGAAAGGCAGCAGGCAAAGTCTACATCTCCTTTGGCTGCAGAGAATCCTTACTGGTGTAGTGCCTTTAACTCATATGCACTGTGTCAAAAACCAGCAAACTTCCTAATGCAGATCGATAAGAAACCAAATTTAATGAGCTTTGGTGCAGACTCTTTATTAACTTTTTCTAATCCTCAGGGCTCACATGGGCACAGCTTACTGGGTTCACCAAGATTTAGTCATCAGCCTGACTAGGCACAATATATTTTCCCTCATGCCCAGCACTTTTCACTGAAGCACCTGACATCTACTGACATCTGTTCAGGAAAAGGCAGCTTTGGAAATGCTATGAACACACAGTCATTGAGTATGCTTTGAAATGGCGGAGTGCAGAGGAGGAAGCACCTAAAGAAAAAAGTTCAAAGCAAAAGGGCCTAGCAGGTACTGAGTGAAAAAGTTTCTGTGAAAATCAGAGGATAGACAGAAAAGAATGAACGTGGGCATGATCAAATGCTTTTCTACAACAAGAAAATCAGGAATCAGGTGCTAAAGCTAAGGATGGATGTTCAGTAAGCAAATGGGATGTGTTTGGCTCAACGCAGCTGAAAGAGAACGTGATGCCTCCAAGAAGGGAGTAACACGTGGTTTTGTTCCCCTTGCTTGCTCTGGGTGGCAATAAAAGCAGCCCTAAACGGCAATCATAAGAAGTAATTTATAGCACAGCTCCTTGGACAGAATTAGAAGACAGTTGGAAATCTCTGATCTAGTAGCTTAACTATCAACAGGTCCGGAGCATCTTCCCAGTGAGCTGGGCTCTTCTCTGGTGTCAAATGTTGAGTCAGGGACGGCGCAGTACAGACTTCTCGCATTGTGCAGATGGGGAACTACCAAGAAAGGGAGAGGGAGGCTCGTGTCCATGCAGGATTTACCTCTTAGCCCTCCAGCAACAAAAACAGAGTGTATTGTAGGCAGGGATCAAAGCCAGTGACAACAGCTGAAGAACTTGCAGTGTAGGTTGCCCTCAGTTTTTACAGGGGACAAAAGGCTTTTGCCCAGCATCTTGTGTTGTAGCAAGGTCTTAGTCTGGTGATGACTGGGTGAGGAACGCAGGTGGTTGATGCGAAGCTTGAATTAGTTGCGTCAGGCGGCTGGAAGCAGGGGCTGAGGTGCCTGGGTAGCCTAAGTCTCTGAGTGTGGGAGGTAGATGGGAGTTGGGGAAGCTGGAGCTGATTTCACCCAGCCACTTTGGGGTCCAGCTGCACAGTCCACCAGACCTCACCCTGCAAGACAGAGGTGAGACCATCTCCTACCTTCTCTCCAAGGTCTCTGTTAGGTTACCTATGGCTTTTACTTAAATAAAACTTCAGTGTTTGGCTCGCAATGTAACCATTCCTGCCTCAGCCTGACAGAGAACATCATTTTGTGTAGAATTTTGGTGACATTTCATGGTACGTAGAACATGGAGCCCAGTCTTGAGCAGACATCTCTAACAGTCATTTAAAGTTAAGTCTTGAAAGCAGAGGAGGACACTCCCTGCCCCACGGAGCTCCCTAGCAAGAAAGAACAACTAGAGTAGATGTGCAGCCCATAAAAGCAACCACACCTTGTCCTTCTCCTCCTAGACTTCTTATAAGTGTAGCATTCCCCTTTTCTATTCCTTTCTGCTTTATTTTCAGCACGCTCTGCAGTGAGGGGCTCTTCCCAGTTCACATCCAGCATGCCATCACCAAAGAGACCCTCGTGCTCTGCAGACACTGGCTGTAACCCTGTGGGCCTGCCACGATCAGCTCTTCTCTTGGGTGCCGGAGGGACCTATCTTCTCCCTTGCAGGGCTTAGTGCTGACGGGCAGCGTGCCCCTCAGACAGCCAGCTCCAGTGTCTGTGGGCTCAGCGGGGCAGTCAGGCTCTTCGGTTAAGGAGCATCTGGCAGCCAGCAAACCTCATTCCTTAGTAATCTCACAAGATGGGAGTCTCAGGATTTCTAAAGCATCTTTGGCTGAAGCTGTTCTCTGGCAAGCTGTAGCTTATTTTCTACTAAAATTGTATTTGAGTCTGCTTTTCGCTGGCAGTTATTGCACAGCTGCAGGGCTTGCTGTCTGCCGTTCCCTAACGCTGAGCTACAGCCCATTTTACCTGCTGATTCGTGTCACCCCTGGAATGTGTCCCCTTTGGCATCCAAGTCCTTGTGTGGTTTTAGCACCTTGCTGCTGGGAGGATTGCTGAGTATTGAACTAATCTCTTTCTACCTCAGAAACGTTTCCCTCTTCGGGGCAGAATTCGAAGACTGTCAGAATACTGATGTGGCTAGCTCCTGTCTCCGAAACGAGAAGCGTGGGGTGCAGCTTGTGTGAACATCAGTGGCTGGTGCACCTTCCCTATCATACCAGCAGTGCTGGCAAGCAACCGAGCTGATGAGGGTATTGCTTTTAATTGAGTTTAGCATGGCTTCAGACAACTGGAACATCAGGTGGCTTTTCTTAATGTTTTCTTTGCTAGTGTAAAAGGTGCTGGTGAAGTCTGGAAAAAAGCGTGCCTTGTGTTCAGTCCTTCTGAGTTTCCAGGGAGACACTAAGAAGTTTTTGGCATTTGTATTTTCAGGAGCTTTACCACAGCATGGACAAATGACTTTTTGTAGCAAATCAAATTAATCTGCAGATCAACCAGGCTGAAAAGGGCAAGGACTCGCCGCACACTGCTGGACTGCAGGCTCTCAGTTACAAGCTGGGACACACAGCAACTTGCCTTAGTTCTTGGTCTGAGAATGGCAGAAGGTCCTGTGGAGGGAAAGGGATGATAAGTGACAAGAATTTATAGCAGGTTTATGTGTCGAGAAGCGAAACCACTCTGAGATGCTGGTCTTTGTTCATTTTGCCCACTTGTACTGTGTTTCTGATTGGAATAGAAGAGGTTGTTGTAAAAGAGCTTTTCCACATAACTCTTAAAGAAGTGGCTGCAATTTTTAGATGGAAAACCAGAAGCAGTTGAGATATGTCAAAGCTGGAAATAAAACTCAAATACCCGAGAGGTCTGGTTCCTGCTTCAATTGCAGAAACACTCTGCTGTGTGTTAGAAGTCTTCTGGAGACCACTCCGGGTTGGAGAGGAGAGAGGTGATTCTGTGAGGTGAGGGTGAGCAGGTGGGACCTATGGGTAGGAAGGTGACAAGAATGACAGGATTAGACATCTCTGTGGATGTGTTGTGTGGCAGCAGGCAGAAATACGTTATGTTCCCGGTTACCAGAGGGTGGAAATTTGAAAGTCAAATGGTAAATTCAGTAGCAGGAGAAGAGCTTTGATGTCTGCTTGTCTGATTTTTATCTCCCTTTTTGCTAGAGGTGGGAGCACAGAGACAGGTCGTGCCCTGAAGTATATTCTCCGCAAGGGATTCCCCGGGAGCAGAAACTCGAGTGTCCCTGAAGTCCTGGTTATCGTTTCGGATGGAAAGTCCCAGGGCAGTACCACCATGCCTGCGATGAGGATAAAGGAGAGACACATCACAGTTTTTGCAGTGGGAATCAAGTTTCCAAGGTAGGAAACGTTCCACAGGGTGGGAAATGGAGACCCAGCTAAATGCCAAATGGCAAGTCCTGGCAAGCGAAGGATGGTCTTGTGCTAGATACGAATTTTGGAAAGAGAAAAGGGGAATTTGTGGGGTAACATAGGCAGGGAGGAAACACTAATTTGGTGGCTGGTGCAGAAGGAGGACCAGTGTTGGTGAAGGAAGCTCTTCCACTAAGTAGAGGTACGATACTGCCTGAGACTAAACGCACCAGGATCTTGAAAACTGTTTGAAGGGTGTCATGGTTCTGCATCAGCTCTTTGCTGCACAGGATTTGTTTTGATACTTAGTTCTTTGGGGATGACTAAGGGTCTTGTTACACAAGTGGTTGAACCTGCCCCTCCTCGGCAGGTGGGAGGAGCTGCACGGGCTGGCCAGCAAGCCCACCGAGCAGCACGTGCTCTTTGCTGGAGATGCCAACGATGCTGTCAACGGCCTGTACAGCACCCTCACCGGCTCTGTCTGCAGCTCTCCAGGTAACCCCTGTCCTGGCTCCACCTTCATGCCCATGCTTTGAGCTTGGACCATGTCACCGAGTGAGAAAGATCAGGCAGTGTCAGAAAGCATGCAGGGGAATTAGCAGGTATTGCACTTCGAGGTCACCTGCTTCTGGTGCCCAAACTGGATGGCATGATTGCCAGTTACCTCTCCAAATACCTGCAAGCTGCAGGATCCTAAATCACAGATCCTAAATCTTTCTGTGTCTCAGTTCACCTCTGAAAATGGGAATGTTGGTCCTTGCCTGTGTCACAGGGGACAGAGGGGTAAACGCGGTTGTGTTAAATCTTCTAATGGACTTGGCAGTGTGTTAAGGGGAAGTCACGAGGGGCTTGCAAGAGATAGAAAAGATAGAACTAGAGTGATCCAGAGGTAGAAGAAAATCAAATAAATGAATGACAAAGGCAACAGAGGGGCTCAAAAGTTGTCATTGAACCTTGACCACAGCAGTGCAAGTTTTATAGCAAAGCAAAGGAGGCAGAAGAGTGAGCACCCCAGAAGGCAGGGTAGGCTGGTGAGCTTGTCAAGAGAAAATTTCTCCCCTGGGATCTCATAGAGGGCTCTTTGAAGCACTGCCTGGTTTGCTGTTGGCAGCTAGATGAGAAAGACTAACTCATTTCAAAGTGATGGTCCACTCCCACACATTTCAGGCAATTGATCCTAGTTTGGATTTGTTCTTTGCTACAGGCTGCAAAGTTGAATCCCACCCTTGTGAACGCAGGACCCTAGAGACTGTGAAAGAGCTGGCTGGAAACTATGTGTGTTGGAAAGGCTCAAAGCAGCCAAACACAGTCCGGGCTTCGCTGTGCCCTTTCTACAGGTGAGTTGGACACCCACATCTCTGAAAGTGAGTGGGGCTGAGAGAAGATGAGAGATGCAGTAATGAGGCTTTATCTCAGTACTGTGTCCAGTTCTGGGCTCCCCAGTTCAAGAAAGATGAGGAGCTACTGGAGGGAGTCCAGCGGAGGGCTACGAGGATGATGAAGGGACTGTCCTATGAGGAAAGTCTGAGGGAGCTGGGCTTGTTCAGCCTGAAAAAGAAGAGGCTGAGAGGGGACCTTATAAATGCTTACAAATATGTTAGGAGTGGGTGTCAGGAGGATGGGGCCAGACTCTTTTCAGTGGTGCCCAGCGACAGGACAAGGGGCAATGGGCACAAACTGAGGCACAGGAAAATTACGTCTGAACATGAGGAAGAACTTCTTCCCTCTGAGGGTGACGGAGCCCTGGGCGGGTGTGTTGGACTAGAGGACCCACGAAGGTCCCTTCCAGCCCCGAACATTCTGTGTTTCTGTGACTCTTTACTGGGATGAAGAACCCTCAGAAGACTGATGCAAACATGGTCTCTAGACCTAGGAAAGTCTCTCCCTGCTCTGGCCATTGGCTGATCTGAGAAGCAAAGGGTAAGAGGAGGAGTTGAGGCAAAGAAACAGAAGATGGTTAGCCCAAGAGCGTCATAAATACTATAAATGGAATTGGGATTAGTTTCTTACCTTGTTGAACCGAGATGCCTTGAAGTTTACATCTCCGTACTGACTCTGTGCTGCAGAGGGTTTCTAGGTCTGGCTCCCTGTGTTGGCGCTAGTTCTGCTTTCGGCCACTCAGGGTTCCTTCCTTTCCGAGAAGCCCCTTTTCCTTTGCTTGGCTACCCTGGTGAGCTTCAAAGGGACTGTGCTGTGGAGAGGCTCCAGTCACTGGCAGAAAATACTGCCTGGAGTGCAGCGTGGATCTGCTTTTCCTGATGGACAGCTCAGCAGGGGTCACGCTGGAAGGGTGAGCCTTAAAAATACATCCATAATCCTTAAATGTAAAATATTAGAGTAGAATTCAAAACCGAAAGAGTAGACATGATGAAATAATGTTTTTTATTCTTTTGCCACTCAGAATGGTCATTTTCCTATGGAGTGCTAATTTTGAAAAATTGCATTTTACAGGAAAATTTGTGTATTGAAAACACAGTAAAGTCAACGTTGAAGATAAGTTGTTAATCTTTAAATTTATAATAGGTTTTATTCTCCTGTTTATTATTAAACTTTCTATTTCAGATTCAAGAGAGTTTTGATAAAACATCCATCCAGATGCTTCCGAACTGTATGTCCGGGTAGGACTTTGCTTTTTTTGCAATATTGTTTACAAAGCAGGGAAGGTAGTAACTAAATGATAAAAAGATGTGTTTTTACTCTTACTTCTAAAACTTTTGTTCTGAGTGAGAGATTGTGACCCTTAGCAAGAAGCTGATACTACATCCCATTTTGTCTTTTCCCCTTCCACTGGAGAAGCCAGTTTGCTCCTCATCTGCTCCTGTTCCTGGGGCAGAGACCACAAGTCCTCCCCATGCTTGCAAGGAGCAACTGCTCGACAGCTAGGGGAGTGAGCACTGAGATGCCTCCTCTCATTCACTTGGTACCATGGGCGTCATGACTTTAGCAGGGAACCTGATGCTTGCTGATTGCCCACCTGTTTTTGTGACCGTGGAAACAGCTATGGTCCTTGAGTTCTGCCCTTAACCCCATCCTTTTGCTGGTTCAGGTGACAATGGCTTTATTTTCTTTGTCGGTATGAAGTTGTCCAAGCAGCAGGCCAGACTCTGATCCCTTCATTGCTGGTTGAAATCTGGAAGGGCTGCATGACCTTTAGTAATTCTGCATTTACACGAACACAACTTCATCGGTGTTATTCCAAAGCACGTGAAGTGAGGTCACAGTCTGGCTTGCTGTTCTCACCACTGCCTGCTTCAGAAAATGAAGTTTCCATGGAGGTGACACACACGGCCCTGTGTTAGTTCAGACTCTGCAGTAAGCCGGGCAGAAGTTTGACCCCTTTTCCACTAACGGTGATGCTCGCACTGGCACAGGGTGGGAAGGGGCAGGCTCCCTGCTGACTCGCTGTCTTTCCCTTCCCCGGTCCTGTTTAGACCCCTGTGACTCCCAGCCATGCCAGAACGGGGGCACGTGTGTCCCAGAGGGACTGGACAAGTACCACTGCCTGTGCCCGGTGGGGTATGGAGGAGACATCCACTGCGGTAGGTGTGAACCTGCACCTCCCTCCTTCCTTCTCAGCTGTGTCCTGCCTCTGCAGTGTCCATTGCACATCCATAGGGACAACTGGGATGGAAATCCTGTGAAGAAGGAGAGAACCAATGCTGACAGTCTCACCCTGGTGTGGCTGCCTTTGCTTCTAAATGCAGGTGCCATGCGAGCAGGAGAACAGAGAAACTGGGAGGGACACTTAAGTGTGTCAGTTGTTCCCCTCCCTGCACACATGGGGCAAGGAGGGACTCCTGATTTTGGGGGTTCAATGTGTGAAACCCAAGAATGTCCTGATCTTCAGAAAATGCTTTGTACTTCCCCCAGAATCAAGACTTCCCCTTTAAAGTGTCTCAGGGTGTTACAGATGAGGGTCTGGTGCTTGGAGTCTCTCCTTTCTCCTCATTATGCTGAAAGTCGGAGTGTTTTCCGTGGAGTACTGAGAGAGTGGAATTGTCATTTCTAATTTGATCTTTGCCGTCCAAAAGTCCAGGAAACCCCCAGACTCCCATAAATATTTCCTGTCTCTAAAGGCTTATGTGACATCCAGCCAAAATAAAGTGCACTCCTGGCACAGTTGTCCTCCAGCTTATGCCGTGTCTGGCAAACCATTTAGGTTACTGGACGCAGTGTTCCTTCTCCACACCACAGCGCTTCCAGCAGGTCCCAGCTGAGGTGCCCAGCATGCTTGTCTCTTTGCCCTGCATGTGACAAATTTCTGTCTCCTCTTCAGCACCAAAGCTGAGCCTGGAGTGCAGCGTGGATCTGCTTTTCCTGATGGACAGCTCAGCAGGGGTCACACTGGAAGGGTTCCTGCGCTACAAAGCATTTCTTAAGAGGTTCCTCCAAGCAGTGATGGGCCGGGACTCACCGATGAACGTGGGGGTGGCCCAGTACGATAATGATGTTAGGATACCCATTGAAGTGGGCCAACACAAGGATGCATTCAGTCTGACGAAGAGCATTGATGCTTTGAAGTTCAGTGGAGGAGGAACCCTGACAGGCAGAGCTCTGCAGTACATTGCACAGCATGGTTTTAGGAGCACCCCAGTCTTTGCAGATGTACAGGATGACCTCCCACGTGTGGTTGTCTTGCTCACTGACTCCAAGTCTCAGGATCCAGTAGCAGAAGCCGCTAAGTATGCGAGGGACCGAGATCTCCTCTTGATTGGTGTAGGCAGCAGCTTTGTGAGAGCAGAGCTGACCGAGGTGACTGGCAATCCAAAGCAGACAATTGTCTACTCGGACCCCCAGGACCTGTTCAACAAGATCCCAGAGCTGCAGAGAAGAATCTGCAGTGTGGACAATCCTGAAGGTAAGACTGTGATATGGGCATTGTGGGATGAGTTTGTCAAACCATGAGGAGGTCTTCTGAACTCCACTGGAGAGGGGGGAGGGACAAAAGGATGAATGTCCTTGTTTGGTGTTAGTCACAGATCCAGGGACTAACCGTTCATCTCTGTGTTTTACAATGGATCTCTCTGTCTATTGGTATGAAAGGGTTGTAGATCACCCTTCACAGTCAGTGATCAGCAGTGATGAGTTTTGCCCACCGTTTCCCCTCACCTTGCTTTTTTTTTTGTCAGAAAGGACGACATGCATATTCTGAAAAATACCATGTTTGCACTCTTTTATCCAGGCTGCCAGGTGCAGTCTCTCGATGTGGCATTTGCAGTGGATGCCTCGGCTGGAGTTGGCCTGGAGAATTTTCTGCGACTGAGGGGCTTTGTCAGGAGCAGCTGTTTGCACTTCAGCGTCAACCGGGATGTCACCCAAATTGCCCTTGTGATCTATGGCAGCAAAGCTCACACTGTGTTCGCTTTGGACACCCACACGAGCAATTCAGCTGTCCTCCAAGCCATTGACCGGGTGCCTTTCCTTGGGAACTCAGCCTCTGCCGGCAGCGCCTTGCTGCATATTTATGGTGATGTGATGACAGTGCAGAAAGGAGCAAGACCTGGTGTCAACAAGGTGGTGGTGGTGCTTACAAACGGAGGTGGTGTGGAGGATGCAGCTGCCCCAGCTCAGCAGCTGAGGGACAACGGCATCTTGGTGTTTGTGGTTGCCATTGGGGACGCACAGAGGGACATGCTGCTGAGGGTTGCTGGGTCTCCCAACTACCTGCTCCACGTCTCTTCCTATGAAGACCTGCAGTATTACCAAGACCTTATCATTGAAAGAATCTGTGAAGGTGAGAGGGTGTCCCATCCTCACTCCTCATGCTGGTGCCACCAGCCATTGCTGTTGTAGGTTTTCTGATGCTTTACCGAGTGAGCTCGATATGATCTTTTGCATTTTACAAATGGGGGAGCCATGGCGTAGATATCTGGTGGCTACCCAAAGCAATCCTGTAGGAATAGGAACCAGCTTTCCTGAGATTCAGTCCAGTGGGTGAGATTGGACTTACTATGACTGGCTCTTTCCAGCCCTGCCAGGACTAGATTCTGTCTTCTCTGAAAGAAAAAGCAGTTTGCTCTTTTTCTGATGCTGCTTTAAACCTGTGGAATTTGCTGTGCATTACTGTACCCCCTCCAGTGTTGCTGGAGGGGCTTAATGGGACACGTTTCTGCAGCCAGCGGTGTTGGTCCCTGAGTGAGGTCTCTGCTGTCCTGTTCAACAGGTTTGTCCTCAGGTGTTTGTGAAGTGGTGAGTCTGAAACCTCATCACTCCCGTTCCCTCTTAGTGTCCTGCTGCTGAAGTTATCATGTAGGCTTTCAAGGTTTTATTTGTGTTGCACAGAATTTAATCCTAAAATCAGAATCTGCCTATCTTGAAGCCTGCAGATTGTTCAACTGAGGCCTTCAGACAACTTGTGATGAATTTTGTTTGCAGGACCAAATCCTTATCTCCAAAGTAGGAGGGAGGAATTTTCAAATATTCATGTAAAAGCTCATGTTTGTGCAAAAAAACCGAAAACCGAAAAAGGCCCTTTCTTCAAAACTTTGTGTCCCAAGGGCCAGTCCCCAGCTGGGAGAAATATTGATAGCAAGTTTGGAACACTTGTGTGCTGAGTGTGAGTGCCTGTGTTTGGTGGGAATCAGCATTTCGGAAGGGATAGCAGCCCTGGTTTGCCGACATCAGCAGTGGCAAAAGCGTGCTTCTAGTTAAAATGCCATGCTTTGTTTCCCATTCAAAATAGTCCGAGTTTCACATCTAGCTGTTTGCTTTTGTCGTGTTTTAATCCATGTGTAAGATCAAATGAAGAAGCATGTTGAGCTTCAGCACAAAGGTCCTCTTCATCTCTGGGCATGCCCATGACTCCTGCAGGGTTAGAAAGAAGGACAACGCCGTCCCTTTGGGGTGAGGAGCCGGTCTCCTGGCAGGCTCTGCAGGCGGTTTCTACCTGGAGCTTTTCAGTGTGCTCCCGTTGCAGTGGTATTTTCAGCTGTGTTGTTACAAAAACAATCTGCTGTACCATGAAATTAAGTACAACGCCACGGATGAAGGGGAAGAGACGGCAAGGTTCAATGAGTCAGGATAATGACGTATTGTTTCCTGAGACCGAGTTGCTGCTTTCATTTCATGTGCAGGTAATCGCTGCTTGTACGAGATAGGCTGGGACCAAGGGTGATGTAAAGATAAGCCCTTCATTCAGTCTGCTACTCCCAAGTCCAAGACTCAATAGCAGAATTATTGTCTGTGAAAGGACTCATGATAAAAGTATTTGAGAAAGTCTCTGCCTCTGGACACCTGGAATGTCGTATCAGTTCTGAGACTCAGCTGAAAAGAGACCAGAGTAGAATGACCTGGGGTCTAGGAGAAAAGATCCCAAGTATTAAATATATATCAATCTGATTAATGGAAATACAAGCTCTTGGCGTCGTCAAAGGGTATAATCCCCGAAGGACAAGAAGCTTATTCAGGATGATGGGGTATTAACAGTAGGCTTGAGTTCAGAGAAATGGCATCTGGGCAGAATAGCACCATTCCCCCAAACAGGGAGCGTGAGGTTGTGCTGTGGAGGAAAGTGGTGGGTGCATGGCATGTGGGGCAGAGCACCATGGAAAAGCTCTCTGGGGAGCAGCCAGCACCTGGAAGATGAGTGGTGTCTCCAAGAGATCCGGCTTTCATTGCCAGCGGCTCTACCAACCTACAATGAAAGTGAAAGTGTCCGTCCTGGGGATATGCTGTCAGGCAGAACCCCATCTGAGATGTCCCATGATGACAAAAATGTTGTTGAACCCAGCTCGGCTCTGTATAAAATCAACAGGAACTAAAGATTGAGATATCTCAGATCTAGGATTTGACTGTCAAAAAACTGAATTTCAATTATGATTTTGTTAATGTTAGGCGTAGGTTGAGAGTTGATGTGCACACACCATTATCTGTTCAGGGAGAACGAGCATAACGTGTGGTAAGCTGTAGTAACCATCCTGATGGATAGGGGATAGAATTTATATTCTTTCCTTCTCCTTTTCTTGCTCCCTCTGTGCTTTTTCTACCTCGGAGCAAAGGGCAAGTCTAGCAGCTCAGGACTCTACACCATGTAGTAGTTCAGCAGAGGAATTTCACACCCTTACCAACACTGCGGTGGTTTTGCCAGCAGACTGGAAGCAAATCCCTCTGGGATGCTGCTACTTAACCTAACGTGTTTGCAGCAAGGCAGCATGAAACACGGCCAGCCCTGCTGACAGCTGGGCTCTGCTGTGTTAAGAGGGTTGGGGAAGCTGTCACTTACTTCACAAGAACAGGGCTAATAACAGCTTGGACTGTGGTTGCAGGCTTTACTCTCAAACCTCCTAGAAAAGAAGCCCAGAAGTTTTCCCTGTGTTGTTTTCCATTCGTGCCATCCCTGCTTCCCAGCTGACCTCTTGTCCTTGCATCCTCTCTGGTAGAAACTCAGGTCCTCTCCAGAGCAAAGTGGGGTTTGAACTCCAGTGGCATTCGGGGTTGTAAACAGCTTGGGGCAGGGCATGTGTCTTGCTCTGCGTTGGTGGTGTCTGGATGTGGGGGGCTTAGAGGTGCTCACGTGTTCAGTGCACAGCTCTGAAGATGTTCCATTCTGCTTCTCTTTGACATGCAGCCTAACATGGCATCACTCCTTGAAGCTTTATTAGGAATACTCTCCTCCAGATTAGAACATCTGGCAAAGCTGTTCTTCCTCTTCTCTAGGTTAAACGCAGAGGAGTTTGTTCTGTGTGTCAAGATAGGACTGTGAGCTCGTACCCTCTGCCATGTTAATGTGGTTTTCCAATCCAATTAGCCCTAGATGACATTTGTTGATGTCTGGGATATACAGCTGCTGTTATTTTTGCATCATTCCTGATGGATGTTGGTCCTAGCTATTAATTCTCCGTAGATGTGCCTGAGCCTGCTGTTCTGCTTGTGTTCATTGCAGAAGCAAAAAGCCCCGTGAACCTGTGCAAACCCAACCCGTGCATGAACCAGGGCATATGCATCCTTGGGCCTGGGAGCTACCGCTGTGAATGCCACGGCTGGGAAGGACCCCACTGTGAGACCAGTAAGGATCAGCAGGTGGCAACCACGGCAGATATTGCCCATTCTGCCCAGCCCTCTGAACAGGCTCTACATCTCCACCTCACCCTCGAGCAGAGATGTGTCTGTAACTCTTGGACAGCTGTCTGGTGGCCGGATCTTGGTGCTGATGTGGCCTCTGTCACACGGAAGGTGGAGAGGTTTGGGCTGCTGAGGGGAACAAGGGCTTCTCTGAAGAAGCCATGCCCTGTTTTACACATTCACTAAGCGACTTGGCTGTGAGGGGACCCTAGAAGGTCTAATAATTTTAGTAATCTTCTTCCACTCTGTTCTGTTCCTCTTGTCCCTCTGCCCTGCTAGAAGAAGCAATCCCTCCTTGACTCCCAGGGTGTAAATCTCTGACTCCCTTTTAATGGGAGGGAGCTGTTTCTGTCGGAGTGTGACCCCCTCCCTGTTGCTTTCGGGGCTTTCCATGGTGCAAAGGCCTCCCCATTGCCCTCATCCTCTTCAGCAGGGGGGCAATGGCCGGGAGATGGTGGGCCTCTGGCCTCTGGTCTTGTGCCCATAGTGGGAAGTTCTCAGTTAAGTGGGTTTCCCCCTTGCCCAATATTGTGCTCTTTACCTAAGCCCAGGAGTTCTGACTTCCACCCTATGGCCTCTAACGTCCGTCAGCTAAGGCCAAGAGGATGCTTGTTGGGTTGTAATGAGTGTGAGCTTATCCCTTGGTCCTAAAGCCCTTATCCCATGTCTGTGCTTCTCTTCTGCAACAGGAGTTCTCCGAGGTGGTTCTCCAAGATCCCCAGTCCTTCCTCCGCACTCCCACGTGCAGTGGAGTCCAAGGGAATCGCAGCGCTTCTCCAGAGCCCCCAGCCACACCAGAAGGAACATGGATCATAGACATTGACAAAGATGGGCCGAGTGTTCCAGTTCTCCATCCAGGGATGCTTAGTGCCACTGGCAGGCATGATCCAGCAAGCCACCCTTGGCAGAGATTGAGTGGCTCCAGCACAGGGACTGTGCTGAGGCCATTCCCAGTTCCTGCATTGCACTCTCCTTCTGTTTTAATTGAAGTAAATATTTGTGATTAAGTATTTATTATTGGCATTTTGCATTTCCTCATCTGGATTCTAGTGTCGTGTGATTATTTTTTTAGCAGACTTTGTGAGCGACCTCTGAGTTAGTCTAAAATCATGTAGAAGTCTGAGCAATTTTGGAG